CAGTAAACCAATGCACACAATGAGCTGGCGGCCGGCTGCCCCAGGGAGGCAGTGATTCCGGCCAGAGGCAGAGCCGACCTGACCTGAAATCAGCAAGTCCTTCCTTCGTGTCTATTTCCTGATTTTTCCTTGCTCCCGAATTTTCGGCCAAAGGGCAGCAAGTGGATTGAAATCTTGGTTTGCAAAAATACCTTTTACCATATCATTTTTTCTTTCTCTCTCTTTGGAAAATGCACTTGGTTTCAGAGCTGGTTTGGGTTTGCAGAAAATCTGAACAGAGAGCCCCATGAACCTCCTCACCCCCGTGAGTTAGCCTAAAGATGGTTTTGAGGGGCACTTACAGTTAGGGGTTGAAAGAATACCTCAGGGCAGTAGTTCTGTGGCTTCAGGCAGCCTAGAATTTTTAATAATTTGAAGTTCTGTTGCACATTTTTCTCTCTTTTGAGCAAGATTCGTCTGTCGTGGCCATGATCAAGGGATCTAGAACAGGACCTCTCTCTTCCAGGACCTTGGCACATGCTCACTCCTCTGTCCGGAACGCTCTTTCCCCATCTTCCTTTGGTTTCTGATGCCTCTTCCTTGAGGATTCAGCTTGACCCCATTTCTCAGGAAGTAACTCTCTCCCAGCATTCTTCCTCAAGGGCGGCGAGGGGTCCACGCATTCTTTGGCCAGTGGTCTCAACTGTCTTACCTCTCAACTGTCTTACCTCCAGCTGGGGTCTTGGCAAAAACCTCACCACTGCTGCTCCAGGCACAAGAGGTTCTCTGTGTTAGGAAGGGGACCAGGAGGAAAGGCCACATGCTCCACCCTTAAGACGTTGGTGTGGCCCTGAGGCGTTAACACAAGTTGGAAGCAGCGCACGTTCAAGGGCCCTTAACCAGCGCAGAGCTCTTGGCTGAGCGACAAAACCTTAGGGAGCCTTTCGGCTGAACACCCAGTGAGGATCAGCCAGCCCCGGGCATGTGAAGTCTCCTTGCACAGAGTCCTGGCCCAGGCCCGTTGCATCCCGTCACAGGGACTTTCCGAGTAACGAGCATGGAGGAGCTGTCTTTGGAAAAGGAGGGAGTGCAGTGCAGATCACGCACTGACTGGGTGACACAGGGAAAGCCATCAACCAGAGGTGTTTTTCGGACACTGTCAGTCAGGGTTTTCATTTAAGTACGAGCAGACCCGGACATCCTGCAGGTTCACTTCTAGACCACCTCACAGTCGGGCAAGGGAGTCACGTCACTGTTTTGTTAAAAGTTACGTTTACACCACACTAATGCATTGCTGTACATCAGCATGTTGGAAAAGTTTGAAACATTGCAAGAATTACTGAACGTGACACAGAGACACAGAGTGAGAGCAGCTGTTGGAGAAATGGCGCCCACAGACTGCTTGATGCGGGGTTCCCACAGTCCTCCCGTTTGTAGGAAGGGCAGTAAAGCGAAATGCAGTGAAACAGCGTTAGCCTGGACTCTGGAGAGAAGAGTGAGGAATTTACCCTTAGATGAGAGCGGCCAGTGCCCGGCTGACAGAGTGGCTGTGGCTGCAGGGCCCCTGGGCGGGAGCGCCGTGTGCCAACCTTGATGGGAACTGACCCATTAACACAGGGTCTGGCAAGCAGCGCAATCCCGCAGAAAGACCCGATCTTGTCAAAATCGAGTCCTGTTTGCTCGCCATGCATCTCTGTTGTGGGCGGGTGCTGGGCTGTCTGGCAGCGCCCTGGAGCACGACTCGACCTGCTCTGGGTGAACAAACACGTCTGTGCGTCAGGGCTGCACCCGCCATGCTCTAGCGTGCTGGGACCTCGCCCCCTCACATTCCCTCAATGCAGGCAGCCCGGGCCTCTTGCTTTCCCACACTGGTGGCCCCGCCCCCTCATGGTCCCTCTATGCTGTCGGCCCCGCCCCCTAGCTTTCCCACACTGGCGATCCCGCCCCCTCACATTCCCTCTATGTGGGAAGCCCCGCCCCTTCGTGCCGACCCCGCCCCCACGCTCCTCCCCGCGGCTCGCCCCGGCCCGCCTCCAGGCTCAAGCGATCTCATAACGGTGTTGCATCAGCCACTGACAATTAAATTCCCTGAGGATAAGGATCCTTTCCATGTTTTTTTTCCCCCAAAAGTACAGTTCGGTGGTTTTTAGGGCCTCACAAGGTTGTGCAAGCTCGTTGTTGGTGTAGGTGCCGCGGATGACAGAAGGAAGCAGGACGGGTCCTGCTCCGTGCGCACGGCCGTTGCTTGTTTGCGCCCAGAGCCTGTGGTTGCAGCCCGTCAGTCCATCTCCGGGGGGACTCTCTTCTCGCTGACCCTCTGCTGTACCAAGAATGGCGCCCTTCTCCAGGGACTTGTCCCTCCTGCTAGCATGGCCAATGTCAGGGGCATGCCCGCTGTACTGGGCAGCAGTGGGATGTGGTGCGACTTCATGGCTCTCCAGTCCTAGAACACTGTAATCCCCCAGGAGGAAGCCCCGTCCGGGCCCCCAGCCCCTGGTACCCTCTGATGTACCTTCTGGGTCTCTGAATGCCCGTTCGGGCACTGCGTGTCAGTGGCGTCATGGTGTTTGTCCTCTGGGTCTGGCTTTTTTCACTCAGCCTCAGCCTTCGGGCTTCAGCCACATGGAAGCATGCATCAGAACTCTGTGTCCTTGCACTGTTGTACAGGTAGGCTCCGTTGAGTTCACCGTTCATCCGTGCATGACATTTGGGTGGTTTCCTGGTTCTGGCTGCTATGGGGGGAGCTCTGGGGGCAGAGTGCATAAGGCACTTGACTGCCAACCAGAAGGCTGGAGGTTCAAACCCACCAGCCACTCCTCGGAAGGAAGACTGGGCAATCTACTTCCATAGAGATACTGCCTGGGAAACCTAAGAGCCATTATGATTCAGAATTGACTCAAAGGCCGTGAGTTTGGTTGGGGGTTTTTTTGGGTGCTCTGGACGTCTGTGTGCATGTTGCGTGATCGTGTGCTTTTACTCCTCCTGGTGCACACCTGGGAGTGGAATTCCTGGGTCACGTGGTCATTCTGTGTGTCATGTTTGAGGAAGGGCGGGAATTCTCTCTTTTAACACCTCTCACTGGTGCCAGAGGGCTGTTCACCGCAGTAGACTCTCAACAAACGTGTTCCATGAAGTGGTGTAACTGTCACCTGTGGGAAGAGAGGTCCCACACCTGCGTGCAGGCCTTGCTGGCCAAGGAGCGGGAACGTGGCCGAGCCCGCTCCCGTCTGAGGCCCAGTTTCCTCACTTGTAAAACTGAATGATGGTTTCCCGTACGGGCTCGTTGTCACACTGGTGCTCGAGGAGCCGGGGCCCTTGGAAGGCTCAGTGGGACCCCATCTTGTGTGTTTGCATCAGGCGCTCTCCGCTGGAAGCCTGGCTGCCCGCTCTTGCGCGTCGTGTGGCCCCGTGCAAGCTGTCACGCCCCCGGGTCTCATTGTCTCACCTTGGAGAGGTCTGCTTCATTAGGTGGCTGTGAACAAAAAAACCACCAAAAGTCAGGTGCTACGGAGCTCATCCTGACGCCAGTGACCCCTGTGTGAGAGTAAAGTGTGCCCCGGAGGGCTCTCAGTGGCTGGTTTTTCCGGCTAGATCACCAGCCTGTCCCCCAAGGAACCTCTGGGTGGACTTGACCTTCCACCCCTTGGTTAGCAGCTGCTCGACTTCTCTGCTTGTAGCACGCAGGGCCTCCACCTGCTGTGGGGCTGCGAGGAGCTGCTAAGCCTGCTGTAAGCAGTGTGTCCGTAGAGACTGTTAGGTCTTTGTACTGTCCCTGTAGTGGGGAGAATGTGTCTATTTCTCAAGGTCAGATGCATTTTATAAACGTCAGTCTTTCCTGCGTTTACGACCTGTCTTCTGTTTTACAGTACGTCATGGCCACCGACAGCTTCCAGCTAGGCTATGCAGAGGATGGGCACTGTAAAGGGGACACCAACCCGAACATCCCGTACCCCACCAGGCTGCAGTGGGAGATCCCAGAGGAGGTGAGTCTGTGGACAGCTGAGCAGTTCGCACTTCCCGGGTGGGAGATGGATTTCAATCTTGGCACCCAGCTTCCCGGCAGGACCTCTGTATGTTCGGGAGCGCGGCTGAAGCCCTTGGAGACGGGACTTTGTCCACCTGGGGAATTTTGTCCGGGGCCTTGGTGCTGCTGCTGCTCCTGTTAGCATCCAGCGGGAGCTTCAGTCCCTGTTCCTTCTTGTGTCTTGAGCTTCCGGCTAAGCGTGTAGTGACTGTTGCAGCTCAAACTTGGCTGAGCAGCCCCGTTGCTGCCAGTCGGTTCCGGCTCTCGGGGCCCCGTGTGTCAGAGCAGAGCTGGGGTCCACAGGGTTGGCAAGGCTGACTTTTCGGAAAGAGAGCGCCAGGCCTTTCTTCCGAGGGGCCTCGGGGTGGGTTCGAGCGCCAGCCTTTCTCGGCGAGTAGACGAGGGTTTAACTAACTATCTGTGCCACCCAGAGTCCTCTCAGACTCAGTTAGACGTGTAAGATGTTCAAAAGGAAAAACTAAAAAAAACCCCATCAAAGCCAAATATAATCTCGTAGTTTAGAGTTGTAATATTTTAAGTCACTAATTTGGAATTTTTACAGCTTAATATCTTTTTTGTTTTTGTTCCTTTGGGGTAAGCTGTTAGGCCGGAGCCCTTAGGAATCTTAGGCTGGGAACCACTGATTCCTGGGTCATCCAAGCAGGCATTTCTGAGGCCCACAGACTCTTCTTGGGTCTGTACGATCCTGGGCGTCGTGCTGCCGTCCCCCGGCCTGTGTCTGCTTGTCCTCGGGCCCCGTGTGGTGTGGGCTCCGCAGAGAGGGCACCTCCACGGGAGCACTCGGGCTCAGGACCCTGTGGCTGAGCACGTACCATTTCATTTTAAAACCGGCCCCACAGTTGCCACCTGAACCAACCACGGGCTTCAGTAAACCACACCCATGACTCCTCGGGATGCCCTTTGGGGTCTGTCTTCGTTTCTGGGGCCGTTGCAGCAAGCATACCACAGAAGTTCAGGTTCTCACGGTTCCAAAGGTTGGGCGTCTAGATTTGGGCAAAGGCTCACTGTCGGCTCTGGGGGCGCGTCCTCGCCTGCTCAGCTCCTGTGCCTCTGTCCTTGGTGATCTCCTTAAAGGCCCACTGTTGGTTCTGGTGGCGTGGTGCCTAAGGTACTAGCCTGCTAACCAGAAGGCAGTTCAAACCCACCAGCCACTCCTCGGAAGGAAGGTTGGGCAATCTACTCCGTAGTGATACTGCCTCGGAAACCCAAGGAGGGGTCGCTATGAGTCGGGTCCAACTTGACAGCACGTAACAACAACAACTCTCGGCTCTGGGGGAGTGTCCTCACCCAATCAGCTTCTGTGCCTCCAACCCTGACTGTCTTCTTGAGACATGGCATCTCCCTTCCGTCATCTGTGCTCCTTGACTTCCTTGTCAAACTGCTCTCTCATCTCAAAACACACCCTACACCGCCTGCTCACCATGCCTCCTTATGGTCAAGCGATTATTACAGTAACACCCCCTTAGGATCATACTGAGGAGGGCTCTGTTCCCAGACGGGATCATAACCGCAGGTGTGGTAGAATTTACAACACGAGGAATTGGAGGACATACTTCAGTCTGTAATGGGGTCTCACTGGGAGCTGGGAGGCCCCAGTCTCCTAAGCTGTCTTCTGACCACTTGGGGCCCCTCACCGCTCCTTGGGGTGCCATGTGTGAAACCTACTGAGGCCCCTGGATAACCTTTCTGGAAAGAACTGTGAAGGAAACGTGACACGCGTGTTCCTCAGTAACAGCTTTACCTCAGTGTCTCTGGCTTCTGACCGCCTCCCCCACGAGTAAAGCTGCTGCTTTTTCACACTGTCTCCTAGCATCTGACTGACCCTGGGGTTGTCGTGCTTGCCCCCTGCCCCCACGAGTAAAACTGTTACCTGTTTTCTGCGCAGTCTCCTAGCTTCTGACTGACTCTGGTCATATGAACCTGTCTCCTCTTTGTGAGTAAAACTGCCTCTTCTTTTTTTCCAAGTGTCAAGAGGTGATAGAGATGTCCCTGAACACCGCGAATCTTCTGGCCGATGATGTGGATTTTCACTCTTTCCCATTTAACGCTTTTGGCAAAAGCGCAATCAAGAGGTGCCGCACGAGCCCTGATGCCTTTGTCCAGCTCGCCCTGCAGTTGGCGCATTACAAGGTGAAGACGTGAGCCTTGGGGTTCCCTGAGCACACGCCCGGGCCGTTTACCTGGGAGGTGGGAAGGGCCTGAGACCCGGCCCAGGTAGGGTGGCTGCTCGCGCTAGAAGCCCAGTCTCCTGGGTCTTCAGTGCCCACTGGGGTCTCCACACGCAGGCCGGGGTCTGCAGAGGCCCTTCTGGGCTGTAGTAGGTTTCCTGTGTGACACAGATCAGAGGGGAGAACCTGGGAGGTTCAAGCAGAGTGAGACCTCATCACACCCGAGGCAGAGAGAGAGACCTTGAGAGGAGCCCTGAGCCCTTACCGGCTCTTTTTACAGCTCGGCGGTGCTAAGGTGTAGACCGTCCTGCACTGACAGTCATACGGACGTAACAAAGGAACCCTGTGTCCAAGCAGGATGGTGTCCACGGGAAGGGGTTAGGACTCCAGCACAGAATTGTCAGGGACAGAGTTCAAGCCATTACTGCCTTTGACCTTGGTTTTCCAGCCCTTGTTTTCTCAGTTGTTCCTCCTCCGTGAACAAAAACTCAATGCTCCTAAGGTTCCTATCTCTTCTTAAGAGTGGCTGTTGCAGATTTAATCCCATGTAGATCTTAAAGGACTATAATGTTCAGGGCAGAGGTTTTCATAAGGTAAGCTAAACTACTACTTGGTTTTAAGAAGACCTTAGGAAAAAGAGATGTCTTAGGCTGAGTTCTCCAGAGAAGCAAAACCAGTGAAGTATATAGATCAACACACACATATGTAGAGAGAGAAGTGGGGAGCGGGAGGGGGAGGTATTGGTTTAGTCAAGGAAATGGCTCATGTGGGGTGGACACTGGCAGGTCCCCAATATGTGGGTCAAGCGTCAGACAGGAGGTTTCTCCTGGTTCATGTGGTTGCAAGGGCTGATTCACCCACAGTCGGCAGGTCAGATGGCAGGCTGCTGGCTCAGAGGGCTGCAGAAGCTGGCAGATCCCAGAATCAGCAGGTCAGGCGACAGGCTGCTAACCCGAGTCCCAAGCACAAGAGGTCAGATGATGACAAGCCGGATGCAGGATCCCAGAGCAAGGGAGAGCCTTGCCAGAGCATCCGTGTATGTGCTGGGTGTGGTCACACCCCCAGGAAACCTCTTACATCAGAGTAAGGGTGGGGCTTGGATAAGGGTGGGACTTGAGGGAGGTGTGACTTGAGGGAGGGCGTGGCTGGTTGATGTATAAATCCTGCCTTGTCAACACATAAAGCTTAGGATTTACAATACGTCAAATGGAGGATAATTACATCAGATCACAAAATGGAGAACAGTTATGTAATACTGGGAATCCTGGCCTAGCCGGGTTGACACACGACCTTAACCATCATGTGTGTAAGTGTTGATCCCAGATAAACTAAAAAACCAAACCTGTTGCTGTCAGATCGGTCCCGCCCCACGGCAAGCCCATGTAGAGCCGTGCTCCGTAGTTTTTTCCTGGCTGTAATCCTGGCTTCTGCAGTGCCACTAGGGGGGTTTGAACTGCCACACTTTACCCAGCGACCGAGCATAAACCCCTTGTGCCACCCCGGCTCCTAGAGTGGAGCCAGCAGACCTAGAGTCTGTGTGAAGTAGGTGATGCCACGGTTCTTAAGGAAGACGTAACAGTCATGAAGCCTCGATTTTCCCTTGATGCTCCCTGAAACACAGCAACCAAGTGCAGGTGGACAGAAGCAGATTGTGCGAGCCTCACCTTTATCCACTGAGGGAGCGAGTGATGGGTACAATCTGGGTGGATGGACAGGTGGGCCTGCCCTGGGCAGTCTTGGTGGATGAACAGGTGGAGCCTATGACGGGTACAGTCTCAGTGGATGGACAGGTGGGCCTGCCACAGGCACAGTCTTAATGGGACCCGCCATGGTCACAGTCTTTGTGGAGAGGCAGATGGTGCTCGCTGTGGGCAGTCTTGGTGGATGGACAGGTGGAATCCACTTTGGGCACAGTCTCGGTAGGGCCCACCATTAATGGTACAGTCTCAGTGGATGGACAGGTGGGGCCTGCCACAGGCCCAGTGCTGACAGTGCTGAGAGCTTTACAGGAGTCGGTTCCCCCCCTGCATGGCAGCTCTGAGGGGGTTCGTCTTTACCTCCACCTTACAGGTCGATGTCTTACCTGAGATCTCCAGCAAGTCAGAGGCAAGGCTGAGTTTTACTAAGCAGGTTAATTCTAGAACCCATGTCTTCAACTGTTATGCTACAGTGAAAGCATTTTGCTACACACTCATACATACAACCATGTGGGAATGGCCTACTTGGCCATAAACAGAGGAATGTGTGTGGTCCGTCCATATAATGAGCATCACCCGGCCATAAAGAGAATTGAAGTCCTGATACAGCTGCCACACAGATGGCCCTTGAAAACATGATGCTTAGTGAGAGAACGTGGACACCAAGGGACAAGCAGTTTCTGGTGCTGTTGATAGGAAATGTCGGGAATAGCAAATACGTAGAAGAGACTGAAGTTTATTAGTGGCCGCCAGGAAGGGGACTCACTGCTCAGAGGACACTGAGCTTTTGCTAAGGGTGATGGGAAATGTAGAACCAACGGTGGTCATGGTTGAACGACTGTGATAACCTGACGTCCCTGGACGGTCCATGGGAAGGGTGTTGCAATGGCCAGTGGTTGGTTAGCCGTGTGTTTCCT